CACACACACACACACACACACACACACACACAAAACAGTGATCATAGTATTCCCTTGGGGTATGAGTCTCATGGGAGGACATGTGTTCTATTGCAACAATCCTTCCTGTTTTCCTTTTCCTTCTCGGTTCCTCTTCCTTCAACTCCGGCTCATTCAGGAGTTGTCTCAGCTGCCTTTTCTTGTTCACTCACCTTTTTTTTTTTATTAACCCTTTCCTTACCCCCATCTCTCTCTCTCTCAAGTTCTGTATTTCGTTCCCCCCCTCGTGTTACCTCTATCACAGTGGCAGATATATTCAGCGTCTGACATGGAGTGAAAAGCCTATGGAGATCGATGTGTGCAGCGCACCTCTCTGAGCTGTCACACGACATGATGAAGAGTTAAGCTTATCTTCCGTACGGCGGCAGCTGTTTTGCCATATGTTTGATGTACTCCTAGCCCTTGGAATCCCACCAATATTCCACCGGTGAGCAGATTGCTGTAAAACCTTAAGAAACTCTATGTCACCCTATGACTGGGCTGTACATGGAGCCATCAACACACATGCACACACACACACACACAAACGCGAGCATAACAAATATTTAGGAGAATTTACATCATGACACATATTCATTGTGAGCCCTGCATGCATTTGATTTCAAGAGAATCATCAGCTCAAAAATGGCTGCAAAGGAACACAAGCAATTGTGTTTAAATCGTATTTGATTTAGCACAGCTTTTGCTAAATGCCACAATTCATCTCAGGGTAATAAAGGAGATGGTAAACAGTGTTAATAGAAGGAATCAAGCTTACTTAACTCAGCTTATTGCCACCATACTGCTTGCTTTATTAGATCTGTCTACAACGTCCTTGTTTTCTCACATTACAGGGAGGCACACATCTGTTTATTTTGTCATTTAATCCGGCATATTTGATTTCCACTCCTTAACACAATTATACATACCCTGTCCACAGCAGAATCATCTGCTCACAAGCCAAAAGCCAATAAAACGCACACGTACATGAGTTCACACGTGTTGATCACACATGCACACACATTAGTTCCATCTTCTCTAAAGATGGTCCACAGCAGTGTTTATGGTTCCATTCAATACGCCTTGCAAACCTTTTTCTTTCGTGCTGAAAATAACCAACCAATCACCATCTGGTGAATCACCATCGGCCCCAGCCAATCTAGTCCACAAGCTACAGTTCAGTTTTAGATTTTCTGTTCAACGGCACAGTGATCGACTTTTCACTGTACAGTCTAGGTTCATAATCATGATAGATTAATAAAGCAGGATACTGTCAACAACATGCAGGTATGACTAACTGCTGCTGAATCAGCAATTGGTCGAGCGCATGTATCAGCCGGACCATGGCTTCGACCCACAATCACTACGTCAAAAGCACAAGGTGGCGGCAACCATATCCAAAATATTTAGGCTTTCTTTTGTCCAATGGAAGGAAGTCTATGGTCAGCTAGAATGATCCAGGTCGTGTCTACGTATGATAGAGCTATGACATAACTTATCGGCCTGTCTGGTAGAATGTTAGGGGGAGGTTTCAGTGACAGTGGCCTGGTGGATTTAATGTCAGGACATTTCAGTGCACAGATTCTCTGTCACTTGACTTCCCACCTGTTCCATAAGAAAGCTCACAGCACACACAGCCACAAAAGCACACAGTATGTGCAAGGTACACAGCAGCTTCCACTTGGACACAACACACTCTGTGTACCAGAAAACATGTTATTTGACAAAATTCGCTGGCATACATCACTGGTTCTATGCACAGAAAGTACACCCGTGCTGCCACATATCACACTGTCCTTCACACACACCAGACTTCATGAGAGTAACAGTGTGTGATATGTACTGCACAGAACGCTGTACTGATCTTTCCCCCATGGTTTCTGAAGTTTTATATATCTTGGTGATTTAATTGGACACTGCTAGACAAATAGTAAGTTTAGAACTATCAACTTCTATCTGGTCACTTTTGAGATATCAAACAGTAAAGATTTGACAGAGCAAAAAAGGGACATTTAAATATTGTCTTTAAAAAATGTTTTCTATT